TCAGAATTGTCTTCTTCCTCCCTCAAATACTAATATTTTGCATATTATTACTGGTATTAACTGAAGCCACTTAGCTGGGTGGTTGGTGAGTGAGTATTAGAATAAGGTAGACGTTTTACTCTTTTCTGGAAGTTCAGGAACAAAATGGGGTTGCAGTCATTTTTACAAACTAAAGGAAGCTGTAAAGACTGGACATTATCACACTGTGCCTGAATGTACTCTTGGTATTTTGTAATGACTTTGCTATAATCCAACGAATGTTTTTCAAAAGAGAAGGCATACTTCTTTCTTTCTTTACCTTTTGCTTTATTAGCTTCTTATGATCCTGCAGATCTGGTGTACTCAGACCTTCACATCCTTGTTCATAGAATTTGTGGATACATTTCTACTAAATCAGACCTCAAGCTTATATAAAACGGCTCGTTTGCTACTTCTGTGACTTGATGGTTTCTTTTTGGTTCAGAAGTAAAATGTGAAGATTTATCTGGACAACAATGGCAGTGGTAAATCCACATGAAAGCCATTTCATCCTTTTTCTTATAAAGAATCATTTTCTCACAAAAAAGAAAAATCCCAATATATTTCCAGCCTTGATGCACAAATGAATTTGGGTCACACTTCGTATTTACTTGTGTTCAGAAATATGAAATACTGGTAATTGGGCATGTGGTTTTCTTTGACAGTAGTAATTCTAGCTTCCTAGGAACTGTTTGCAACTATTTTATGCCACTGTGAAACTTAGAGAGATTTCATGCTTTTCTCTATTACTTTTGAGGATAATGGTCAGCCAAGGAAAAGTAAAAAAAAACGAAAATCCCTTTATTGGTTGCTGATACAACTTCAGCTGCTGCATTTGTCTGACTAAGCATTCATTGTACTGGAACACAAGAAAGAAAGCAACTTCTAATATTTAATCAAGAGGTACTACAATATTTTGATTTTGCATCATGTGATGTTTGCATTCATAGTTTAGATTTTGCTTATAAAAGACTGTTCCTCTGCATACATTACCTTATTCTTATAACCTTGTGTGGAAAGCAGTTACATCCCTGTATCAGAAGTATTTGTGGAAGGCATGCTGAGCAGTCTAAAAGTGCAAACAAGAAAGAGGCAAAGCATGTGACTGACTCAGCATCCCTCTCCCCCAAGCAGTGCCCTGCTTCTGCACGGAGCAGAGCATCTGCCTCCACCACCAAACGAGCAAAAATATCCAAGCAAAAACTCATCTTTGTTTTCCTTGCAGATTGCACAATTTATCTCCAATAACACACACATTCATCGTCACCAAAGCTCAGTGGAATAATTATGAATATTCACTGAATAGACCATGCAAAGCCATATGCTGTGGTAGAAAGAATGTGGAAGAGATACTGAAAACTGGCACAAATAATAAGACTGCAAAATCAGCCACTTACAGTTGAGCAGCATTTAAAAATCATGTATGCGATGAGAGTGGCCTCCAGCTGTAAACAGACTCCTGGATTTCCAGGAGGCAGAATTAGTGTGATAGGAAAGGATAGGAACTCTAACATTTCTGTTACAAGTCACAGAATTTTTAAAAAAGAAGTTATTATAGGGAAATGTTAATATAAGTTATGGCACTTTTTATATATCACTGTATCTCCTTTAATCTGCAATGCTGAAGAATTTTTAAAAATCAGGAGTCTGAGGATGCTGTGGAGAAAAGCAAAATGGATCTTACTTAATTGCACAGGTGTTAAGAAGTGCTGGCAAGCCACTGCAGGGAACAGTAAAAAGATAATCAATTTGCTTTGAATTTTGCAGTTTACCAAACACTTTTCTACTTATATCCTCATTTGATTTTTTAATAGTTGTTGTAAGATACTATTATCCCCTTTCTACTGATGATAACATTGATTCACAGTGTTTACATGATTTGTTCAAGGTTACAAATATGTAAGTGGCAAAACTGGGCAGGACTCCTATCTCCTGATGTTTATGAAGATTTGGCAAATGCACAGTAGATGAGACATAAAAAGAAATGAAGACTGTCAGAATCACAGGCCTGTATTCAATGCAAATCAAAACAAGCTAAAAGGAGATGGTCGAGGATGGTTTATAACATGCTAGAGAGAAAACACAAATTTCCAAGATAAAATATTGGGATTAGTGGCCCAGAGAATCAGATACCATGGAAGGGAACGTCTCCATCCCGAAGCAGGGCCATTGTTAGGAGGCTTGTTTTCCATGTCAATTCATTAAAAATTTACAAATTTCAATTGCCATCAATCTTTCTTAATTAAAAAAAATCTGATGTCTTTCGGAGTTTTAAACCAACTTATTTTAAAATAAATCAGAGTTTAGGAAATCTTAGTTTCTGAGACACTTGTGCTATCTGTTTTTTATCACTATCCCTCCAATTTCACTGCACTTTTCACCATCTAACTTATCTACGATTATCTGTTATCTGTTCCTTCAACCATGATGTAAGCACCACAAAGGTAAGAAATTTGTCTTTTTATTTTTTTTTAATTACTGCTGCAGCTTCAACGCCTAGAAGTATGCCTGGTGGGAAGTAGGAACTCATTAAGTGTTAACTTGAAATTATTAATGAGTAAATAATTAGTTGAATTGTGATTTCCCCCATCTCTTTTACTAGCTCCTTCTCCTTCTTCAGTTCCTTTACTATGGAGGTTCTAAAACACTTAATCGAACTTTACTGTCAGGATTTACTTTCTCATTTTGTTTAATCAATGTTAATTCATGATTAATTCTACTGCATTTTATTTGCAGTATCTTTTCCATTCCCACTGCCTACTGTTAGTCAAAGTACATGCCACATGATAGCAAAGTCCTTATTTCTTTTCCTAACTTTAATCTCTCTTAATTATTCAGTGCAGCCTGCAATTTATTTTCACATGACTATTTCTAGAATGCCATTTGAGTCAACACACTCCATTTTCTTTTTCAGGAATGACTATTGGTTTCTGATTCTTATCAGATGATTATGATTATGAAGAAGGAGCATGCCATGTCCAATTCCCCAGCCAACATGCAATCCTTAAAACATCAGTTAACTTTATTGATTTATCAACATAAGGATAAGGATTTTATCAGAATCAGAGAAGGAACACTAACCAGGGGCAGATTCAGGATAAATAAATCCTATTCCCCTCCACCCTCAAAACTCAAAACAGAAATATATATAGCTTCTGGTGGCATTATTCACCCAATATTGGGTCTTATCAGCACTGAAAACTTCAGTTATTCTGTGACCACATGAAGCTTACATCATTTAAGGACTCTTACTTCTTATAAAAAGTAAGTTCTAGCAAGGTCCAATCTATGGGATTTTCCCAGGTTTAGTGAATAATGTATCTGCCTTCAGCCTTCCCACTTTGTGGAAATTATATTTTTCTATAGTTCATTTCTCAACTGTGCTCTAACACCCTTAAATCTTAATGGTTCTTATACTGAGTCTTTTCCTAGTAAACCCATTTCCACAATGTCTATTCCACTGGTAGGTCATATATCTAGGTATCATCGCTACTGAAGGAAATGGGGCAGCACAGCCTGTTGGTTAAGTACAGACTCTTGAGTGAGGCTGTTCCACGACTTAGTAGCTGTGTGACCTTGGGCACACCTCACAGCTCTCACCCCCATTTTCTCTGTCTATAAAATGAGGATGATAATAGCATCTGCATTACAACACATTTGTATTCTTTTTAATTGAGCATTAATCATTGTGGTCAATAGTAATGAATTCTCTGATACTTTTTATATTATGCATCCCTTTCCATTATCATATAGTATTTCTTCTATCAGACATAATTTCAGAGTATACCATCATCAGAGATCACTTTCTGACCATGATGAAGCAATTCAAAAATAAAACCATTCCAAAAACATGTTTAGACACAAAGTAGGGACAAATCACTGAAATGACTAATCATGTTCTCCTGGCTCACATAGGAGAATTCTTTTACGAGATGCTTTTTTTAGCTTCACTCTGTTTCTTTCACCTCCTAGATTTAAAAAAAAAGAAAAAGAGAGAGAGAAAGAAAAAAGAAAAATCCCAACCATAAAACTTTTCCCCCTTTTCTACCACTACTCATCCACAGGAAAACCACATTTCAACAAAACACCTATGACAAACCTCTAAAACTTCTAACATAAGCCTAACCCTATAATAAGCCCCTTCTAAAACCAAACCAAAACAAAACCCTGTTGTTTACATGCCCCTGGTTCCATGTAGTGTGCAGTCATCCTTGTTGCAAGAAATCATAAGCGCAACTTAGTTTGACTACAAATATGGCTCTGATAGTCTTTGTCTGATGGGTAGCAATTAGTTTGAAAAAGAAATTAGTTTCTCTTTTTCTTATTATGCTATGATCCTGTATAAATAAACTGAATGCTAATTTTAACACAACCTCTCTATAGTGAAGTTTCTCAAGTAGAAAATTATGTGAAGATAGAAATCCAGCACATATATTTTAGAAGTGTTATTCTAAGATTAAATAACAATAAAGAGAACACACTTTACATTGGAACCAGGCTCTTTCTTGATGCAGAATCACACAGGGAAAATTGGCATAATAAGAGGGACAGAATTTTCTCAGCCCCACTCATCCACTTCACAAGTAAAATCTCAGTTCAGTTTTTGCCTTGAATGTGAAGGACCAACCCATCCCCTTGGATTTTCAGTTGTCTTTGGCGGTCCTTGATCGCCCTTATTGATTAGAGAGGTGCCACCAATTGGGTTAATTATCTACTAATTCTATCAGTCAGAAGAAGGTAAATGGTGCCAAATCCCACTAACTACAAATTCCCCCACCAAACCTTCCTCAAAAACTGTGTCATCAAGGCTTCTGTCAGCTGGTCTCCAAGAAATACTCTTAGTTCAAGACTCTCTCCTATTATAGCTTTCTGGCTTTCTTAAAACCTAACCATAGGAGTCATGTTGTCACACCAAACCCATTTCTGATACCATTTGAAGTATGTCAGGTAATTTTGAGTTAATAAGTAGAGGCAATACTTACTCCTATCCCTTGATTTTCAGCATCTCATCTGATTCGCCTGGGATGGAAAAATCTTATCAAAATTGTGGTAGCCACACAAGACAAAAATATATGTGCAGTATCTTAAAAATGCTTCTTGGTCCCTAGACTCTGATAAGGTCACACAGTTGAAAGCTAATTCTTATGTGTTACTGCTATTTTATACTCATAAATAATATCAACAGTCCTGAATTATCTTATACTAACCACCTTCCATTTGAGGGAATATATACAAACATTAGACTCACATTATCATCAGAAAGACAAAACAAGGAAGATTCAGTGAACTAGTCACCTTGAAAAACAAATTTCTGTTATCCTGAAAAGCCACTTGCATGAGGATCCTTATTACATAGCACAAATTTGCACCATTCTGTTCCCCATTTAAAACCTTAACTAAACAATTGCTGGCCATATAGCAATAACCTACTTAATAATTCATTGACTAAGTAACCACATTCTTTTTCTGGTGAATGTCAGATATATCTGAATGAGCAATTAATCTAAGAATTTTGAGAAAACCTAGGTAAATACTATTTTTTAAAAGCAAAGTAAAAATTAACTTATGTATTTAACTTTTTTAAATAACAGGTAAGTACATTCTGTTCTATGTATATTGACATAATAGCTTTTCCCCCTCTCTCCCTTTAAAAAAAAGACGAAATGAAACACTTCTAGGTAAAAAAAAAATTGTAAAAAGTATATACTCATATTTTTAATTAACTTTCTTAACAACCACTAACATGCCAATGTGGCAAGAAAGTAAGGAACAGCTTTAGAGACCAAAAAATGACAAGAGAGTACAAATGCAAAGCACTAAATGAAGTTTGAAGTGCACTGTAGCTTTTTGTCCATGTGATCTTGGGGGCTTGGAGCAGAGGTCTTCCAACTGCATTGTATGCTCCCAGGCCACACTAGGACTTTCCGGTGGATATGGCCACAGACAGCAGCTTTAAACAAGTTAGTTTTCACATTTACTTCTATCGTATTTTTGACTAAAATTCATCTGCCTAAGAATCTGCCTGTGGTCAAAATTTGCAGCAGTGTTGCCGTTTCTAGTTTTCCCTCCTATCCTATCTAATTCCTCCCCCCCGAAAAACTAAAAATCGAAATTTTAGCCCATCTGAGCATTACTGCATTACATTGTCTATGTAAAAACAACAAAAACAAACAAAAACTTCTGAAGTGGCTTTTAGAAAGGAAGAAAAAAGAGAAGGAAAAAGGAAAGAAAAAGAAAATAAAGGTAAGATGCAAAAAACCCCACAAATATTTTACAAGGACAATTCAAAATAATCTTCTCTGTATAGTCTCTGTAATCAAAGAACTGCCTCAGCTACTTATTTTGCATGATTGCAAATAGAAGTTAAATTTTTTCTACTTTTTTGACATATCGAAGTTATATCTTTGATTCCAAAAACATTTACCAGAGGTAAGTTAGCTTAAACATTTATTGAAGCTTTTAAGGGGAACATATTCATTAAATTTTGGCAATAGATGATTGGACACTGAAAAAGTCATACGCATTATTTTTTACTTGGATGTTTCTCTGCTCACTATCTCCAGGTAACTAATTATATGCCCAATTATTTGTGAATTTCATGTTCTTATTTGTTTTATATTAATCTACTTGGAATATGTTGAGAATTCTACTGTGAATAATGTACTTAAAAATTACTGATTCCTTTTCTGAAAGCCCTGAATTTATTGGTAGTCACCTACTCTCTTCATTTGCTGTTAATTTCTATTGAACCTGCTTTATTCTAGCAGTAAGTCACATTCATTTATGAGTACATGAATTAGTTTTAAGAAACTATCCATCTCATTAAGTAATACATTTCCAGTAAAATTTTATTTTTCACGTTTTAATCAATTGTGTACTATTAATAATTGTATAGTAATTTAACACAAAGGAACCTCGTTAACATTTAGAGCTTCATAGGAATTGAAAAATCAATTTCAATTTATAAATATAATTTAGTTGAAGAGAAATATGATAGAGAGAGCCACAAAAAATTCATGCATAAAATATAGCATAATAGAATAAATGTCTTGTGTAGGAAATGCCATGCAAATATGAGCTGATGAAGGAAGGCACCTGGTTGACTGAAAATAATCCAAGGTACTCATGCAGGACTGCTTGGTTCATGCACTAAAATGGATTATTTCCTTCTCTTCTCAGGAGAGACTGTATCAGAAATGAGTTTCCAATGGGACCAGTGGCTTTTTCACCCTTAGGGGGTCTACACTTTCCCACTGGCTTCAAGATTTCCAGGTGATGAGTAAGTGGTATTCTGGGTGGTGGTGGTGATGGGTGTGTGTGTGTGTGTGTGTATTTGTAAAATGCTATCACTCAAATCCAGACTTGCAGGTGTGCAAGATATTCATATGACTCTTCATTGGTAAGATTGTTCTCACTTTTTTCATAGCTATAAATAGAAAAATAGAAGAGAATGTCCAGCCATGCACTCTGTCCTCTCAATGGGGCAATGGGAGCACAGGAGCTCATGTTTCTCCATTGCTGACTTTGGCCTTGTTAGCTCCCCCCAAATAAAATCTATTGCTAACCTGCACCAAAGTTGTCAGACTAAACATGGGACCACCTTAGCATAGAAAACAATGTGAGATTTATGAATGTTAAAATCTAACATCACAATATATTTTTTTGCAGATAATAGGGGTATTAACTCACTCACATTCTACTGAACACATTCGAAAGAGTGAAGTAATCAGTTTTGTTCTGAAATTTCAATATTAAAACAAGAGATCGTTAACTTTGAAACCATTTAAAATTTAGATTGAAAATTTTTAGATATCATGGATCTATAGCTTATCAAAATTCTTTTAGGAGGTATGGAAACAAAAGTAAATCTTGATGATCAATGATGCAGATACTTAATTTTAACTGACTATGCAAGACAGGAGGCATGGATATGGGAGGTTTATAAACAGAAACCTGAAGAAAGCCAGAACCATGAAGGACCATATGTTCAGTGAAAAGATGAATCAGAGCAAAACAGGTGCCAACAAAGAAGGCTCTAAGGTAACTTGCCTGAGTTTTCATGGTGTATGTAAAAAGTTTATCCTCTCTCTCTCATAACCACAGTCTACCTCTCATGTAGTTCTGGGACTTGAATCATGCTACCAGTGTGATCCCCAAATCTTCAAGCTGAGTACACTGCTGAAAGTGGTTCTGGGTATGCGGCATTCTAGGCACCCAGGCAGAAGCAAAGGGAAACACTCTTAGTGGAGCATATTTTAAAACCAGTCTTAAATAATTTTCTCTTAAGAATCTCTAATGAATGTGGGCTTCAATTGAAAACACTGTGAGGTTTTTTAAATTCTTTTCAAAATTTTTTTAAAATTCTTATAATTGAATTTTCAGAAAGAGATAAGAGAAGAAGCATAAGGAAGTGGCAATATCCAAAGAGATAACTCTAAGAATGTTCTAGAATTGACAAGAGACATGTATTGTCAAATTCTGGAAGCCCACCATTTCTCAAGCAGGAATTTAAAAAATAATGAAGGAGAAAAGAAAGAAATAATTTCTTGTCTAAAGATATTATTGTGAAACTGAAGAATATCAAAGACAGACAGAAGATATTGTAAGCTGCCAGAAAGAGAAGATAGACAAAATACAAAGAAATGACAGACTGACAGTTGACTTATTAACAGCAATGCTGGATACCAAAAAGTAGAGTAAAAGCTTCAAGACTGAGAGAGTTTAACTATTTACTAATCATTGTATTATCAGCTAAACTGCATTTCAGGAATACAGCCTAAAAACCTGAGGAAGCTGACTACAAACAGAATTGACTAAAGAAACGTGTAAGCAAGAAACCCTTGTACACTGCTGGTGGGAATGTAAATTGATACAACCACTATGGAAAACAGTTTGGATGTTCCTCAACAGGTTAAACATAGAACTACCATATGATCCAGCAATTCTACTTCTGGGTATTTTTCCAAAGGAAATGAAAACAGTAATTTTAAAAGATATATGCACCTCTATATTCATTGCAGCATTATTCACAATAGCCAAGATACGGAAGCAACTTAAATATCCATTGATAGAGCAATGGATAAAGAAGATGTGGTTTATATGTACAATGAAATATTGCTCATCCATAAAAAATAATGAAATTTTATAATTCGGGACAACATAGATGGGCCCAGACACTGCCCTCAATTTCTTGCCACATGGGCTTCTACAACATTGCAGTTTTCTTCTTCAAAGCATGCAAGCTAAAAAGGCAATAGCTAGCAACATGGATGCTGCAACCTATTAGAACATAAAGAAGTGACATTCTTTCACTTTTGCCACATTGTACTTGTCAGAAGCAAGTCAGTAGGCCAGCACACACTCAGGAGGAGGGGCATATGCAAGAATGTGAATATTGTAAGCAGGGATCTTTGAAAAGTCGTCTTAAGATATGCTTACCACATAAACTATACTTACCAGACATATAAAGGAGTAGGGAAATATGGCCAAAAAAGAGGAAAGAAATCAGTCCATCAAAACCAACCCATGGCAAACCCTGTAGCAGAGAATGACATTAAAACAGATGTTATAACTATATTATATAGGTTCAGAAATTCAGGTAGTGTGAAGGAGGATATTAAAAAGACCAAATCTAAACTTCAAGAGAAGAAAACTGCAAGCTCTAAGATGAAAAATACATTGAATGGGACTAATGACAGACTAGGCAATACAAAAGAAAAGTTTAGTCCCTTTTAAGACATAACTGTCAGCAGTATCCAGAATGAAATATAGACATAAAGAAATCTGAAAAAAAAATTAACAAAGCACCAGTAAGCTGTGAGATGAAAAAAAAATGGATGGAAATTTTTTCAAATGTGACAAAAATTCTATATCCACAGATCTGAGAATCTCAGCAAACTTCAACTAAGCACAAGAAATATTTTTGAAAAACTACAATAAGGCACATCACAATCAAACTGTTAAAAAAGAGTGAATACACTATATGTGCAGAGTAACAAAGATGAGTATGACAATAGATTTCTTGTCAAAAGCAAGAAATATGTGGAAAAGACAGTAGAGCAACATGTTTAAGTTACTGAAAGATAAAAACTATCAATCTTCAATTTTATAACTAACAGAATTCTTTCAGAAATTATGCTGATACAAAAAATTTTACAGGAACACAAAAGCTAGACTTTATAATATACATAATAGTAAAATGTATGGCAAAAAAGCAAAATTACTGGGAGAAGAGAAAGGAAAGTATACTTTTTGAGATTCTTATGCTACATATGATGTGATATACGATCACTTGGAGGTAGACCTTAGTTAAGTTTAAGATGTATGTTGTAATCCAGATGTTGGCATATCCAGTCTACGTGATTTTTCAAATAATGTGTTATTAAATTACTACTATACCCTTCTTTACTCACTACCTACAACTTTGTTCATGCTATGACAGCATAGCTAAGTAGTTGTGACAGAGCCTGTAGGACTGGAAAATGAGCATGTATTTACTGTTTGGTCCTTTACAAAAAAGTTTGTGATCACAGCTGTAAACACTAAATCAGCTACTAAAACAACAAAACAAAGAATTAAAAGTAATAAATCAACAAAGGAGATAAAATAGAATTTTTTTAAAGTTTGTTTTAATCCAAAACAAGGCAGAAAAATATTAAAAAGGCAGCAAAGGTTGTACAAATAGAAAACAAGAGCAAGACAGTAGACTTAAATATTAAGTCAGTAATCATATTAAATGTAAATGTTGTAGACTCATGCTTCCAACCAAAGTGGAGCTATAGGATCATGTTTATTTTACTGCTTGAAACAAAAAAATGATCAAAATTCATGAAACAATTGGATAGTCATTGGATAGTAAACAAAGGAAAGGAAACAAAGGAGGTGAGTCCTATGACTGCTACAGCTTATTGTTTAGAGAGACTTTCCAAGTGGGAACCCAGAGAAAGAAAACTAAAACAGAGCCTGGCAGATTACAGAGCTAAAAGTCCTAAGAGAACAAAGTGAAGAGTTAATAGGACAGAGTATCAGCTCCTAGAATTAACTGAGTTTGGTAAGGCTGCAGCGTCGAAGATCAATACACAGAAGTCAGTCGTATTTTTTATATTATAGTAGTGAGCACTCAGAAACTGAATTAAAAAATACTATAAATACAAGAAAATATGAAATAAATGGGGATAAATTTGATAAAAAGATGTGCAAGGCGTGTTCACTGAAAAGCATAGATATAACAGAGAGAAATTAAATAAGACTTAAATAAAGGGAGAGACACACCATGCTCAGAGGTCAAAAAACTCAATATTATTAAGATGTTAACTTTCTCACAACTGACCTATAGATTAATGCAATTCTAATCTGAATTCTAACATGGGCATTTTTTTCAAATTATGGGCATTTTTGAAAAATAACTGACATCTGATTTTAAAATTTACATTGAAACGTGAAAGTCATAGGTACCTAAAAACTTTGAAAAAATGAACAATGTTGGAAGACAAAAAAATGAAAAAAAAACACTACCTTATTTCAACACTTAGAAACCTGTGGTAATAAAAATTGTGTGGGTGGTATATTAAATAAAATCAATAGAACAGAATAGAGCCAAGAAATAAACCTATATATAAAAGTCAGTTGATTTTTGACAAAGGTATGAAATTTATTCAATGGGAAAATAATCCAGTTAAATGATGTTGGAACAAATTTAGAAGACTTTGTACAAAAACAAAACAAAACAAAACTTCCACAGTTACCTCATTCACACATTTACAGAAATTGACTCAAAATGAATCATGGGCCTCCATGTAAGATTAAAAACTATAAAATTTCTAGGAGAAGATACAAGAACAAATCTTAGAAACTTTAGGCTTAGAAAAAGATTTCTTAAATATATACCAAAAAAACAGGATATATAAAAGAAAAATTCAACAGACTATTTATCAAAATTTAATTCTTTTGCTCTTCAAAAGAGACCACTAAGAAAATTGTGAATCACTCTATTATATACCTGTAAGTTATATAATACTGTACATCAGCTATACTTCAATTTTAAAAAAAAAAGACCACTAAGAAAATAAAAGATAAGCCACAGCCCAGAATAAAATGCAAAACTCACATATGACATAGGACTTGAATCAGGAATATGTGAAGAGGTCTTATAATTTAGCAATTAGAAAACAAACACAATAAAAATAAATAGGCATAGGATTTGAGGAGTTGTTTCACCAAATAAATTATATGGAAGGTGCTATGGACTGAACTGTATCCCCACCAAATTCGTACATTGAAGCCTTAACTCCCAGTATGGCTGTGTCTGGAATAAGGAATTAGCATTAAATTAGGTCATAAAAATGAAGCCCTGATCTATTAAGATTACTGTCTTTATTGTAATAAGAAATACCAGAGATCTTACTCTCGCCTTGCCATGTGAGGACACAGCAAGAAGGCAATTTTCTGAAGCCAAGAAGAGAACTCTCACTGGAAACTGAATCAGCTGGCATCTTGATATTGGACTTCCCAGCCCCCAGAACTATGAGAAATAAATTTCTGTTGTTTAAGCCACCCAATCTATGATATCTTGCTATGGCAACCCAAGCAGACCAAGATAGAAGGAAAATGAGCACATCAAGACAGGTGTAACATCATTTGTCATTAGGGAAATGAAAATTAAAGTTGCCAGAGATATAAGTACACACACCACAATGTCTAAAAGTAAAAACACTGACCTCACCAAATGTAAAATGGTTGTGGAGCAACTAGATCTTTTACTCACTGTTGGTATAAATATAAAATTCTACATCCACTTTGGAAAACAGCTTGGAAATTGCTAAAAATGTTGAACATATAATCCAACTGTGCTTCTCAGGAATTTCCCAAAGAAATTGTATGTCCTAACAGAGACTTAAACATGAATGTTTACAGCAGATTTATTTTTAATTGTGAAAACCTGGAAACAACCCAGATGTTCATTAGCTAGACAACTGATAAACAAATTGTATATTTTTTCAGTGGAATACTACTCAACAGTGAAAAGTAATGAACACCTGCAATTAGCAAGAATAAATCACAAAAGAATTATACTGAATGAAAGAAAGCAGATAAAAAACAGCACACATGACAAAAAAGAGTACACACGCATAATTCAATTTATACATATTTCTGAAAAATGCAGATGGTGTGGATGGGGAAGGGAAGATAGAGGGCAGTAAGGAGCAAGTATAAAATGGTAAAGAGAAATTTTGGTGGGTGACATGGTGTAGATGTCAGTGATGTATACATATGTTAAAATTTAGCAACACAAATAATTTAAGTATGTCTAATTTACTATATATCAATTATACATAAAGCTGTAAAAAAAATCAAACTAAGAACAAAAATGCCTGCTTAAAAACCATGACAAAATCTAAATCTTGCTTACCCCCAAATAACTTTCAGTAATATTTGGGAACATGTAGCATCCTGTGAATATCATTTAACATAAATACATTTTTAAAGGTTCCTTTAGTTGAGTATTATGTGCACAATTCCAATCTACCTGTTTAATATTTATTGTATGTAACTTCTCAACAAGCCCTACATAGGTGTACAAGTATTCTCCACCAGCAGTATATTAATAAGGATACAGGAGAAAAATAAGTTAATTAATTTGCCAAGGATTTTAAGTGACAAATTCTAATCTATGCCAGACGTACTCCATAGTCTGACTATTAACCATTTTACAATAATCTAATAATACCAGTTTGAAAATTATAGTACCTGAGCCAACAGCATCAGCTTCTTCCAGGAATTTGTTTTAAATCAAATTATCAGATCCCCACTCTAACTTACTGAATTAGAAAATATCGAAATTGGGCTCAACTCAGTATTTTTTTCAGTAAAATCTAATTTACATGAATTTTAAAAGATATGTTTTATATTAAAATATAGAAATTATATTTTACATAAATACGATTTATGTATATAATTTTTGTATACATAAATTTCAGTTTTATTGAGGTATAATTGACAAAAATAAGATATTTAAAGTGTACAATGTGATGGTTTAATATATACTGTAAATAGATTCCCCCATCGAGTTAACACATCCACCACTGCACATATTTACCATTTTAAAAAATTTTGGTGAGAACATTTAAGTTTTATTTTCAGCAAATTTTAATTATACAATGCAGGGGTATCAACTGTAGTCACCACTGTGTACATTAGATCCTTCGACTTTATTCATCTGATAACTGAAACTTTCTGTACTGTTACCAGCCTCTCCCTGTTTCCCCCATTCCTCCAGCCTCTGGTAACCACTTAACCACTTTTTTGTTCTCTGTTTCTCTGTTCAACTTCCTTTTAAAAATATTCCATAAATAAGTGAGATCATGCAGTATTTGTCTTTATCTAGCTTTTTTCACTTAGCATAATGCCCTCCAGGTTCATCCATGTTGTTGCAAATGACAGAATTCCTTTCTTTTTTAAGACTGAAGAATATTCCATTGTATGTGTGTGTGTGTGATGTTTTCTTGATCCATTCATCTGTTAATGAATATGTATATT